AAGCAAGGAAGCAAGCAAGCAAGCAAGGAAGCAAGCAAGCAAGAAAGGAAGCAAGGAAGCAAGCAAGCAAGGAAGCAAGCGAGCAAGAAAGGAAGGAAGGAAGGAAGGAAGCAAGGGCAAGGCAAAGCAACACAAAAGCAAAGCAAGGCAACTCAAAGCAAAGGAAGCAAGCAAATTAGTTCACACCGGGGAATCATCCGGTTAGTAACTCAAGACATTAAGACTCAGCCCCAGATCAACCATTATATCGGGTGGATCTTGGGGGTGCCACAGGGAAGAGACAGATGGGCCCGACCACGACTCACGAACCAATAGATGTAAGAAACTGAGAAAAAGGATGACCATTAAACTAAATGAATCACTTGCTTCAGTCCTGCTGGTCCACATCCATATCATATCATATCCTTCTTCATCAATTCAACCCCGACCTCTTCCTCCACCCCCAACAGCAGGACTCTCATCCGAGCCCGTTCCCGGCGTCGCCGCTCGCCAATCCGCGCCCCCATCCGCGCCCCAAAGAAAACCAAGCTCTCCTGACCATCCGGATGGCACGGAACGCCTTCAAGGCACGCACCAGGCGAAGAAGGACGATGTTCTTTGGATCGCCTCACCGCCAGAAAAAGGATCGCTTCCACTTCCGCTTGTGTGCTTCATCGACCAAAAGTGGCCCAGTTGGTAGACGAAGTGCGAAGTGAAACATGTGAAAACCCAACTTTGGGGGAATCTGCAGCGATTCTTGATGATTGTTGTTTCTCCGCGGCACATCAAGAACCAAAAAAAAACTTGCAGTAAGTCAAATTCACGGCCCCCCACAGGATGGACCGCAAAAAGGATGACCCCGCACGCCTCCAATCCCTCCGGCACCAGAGTCCACAAGCGGAAGGATGATAATCATGTCCGCCAAACCTGCAGCCCTCAGTCGTATTGGCACTGACGTCCGTTAAAATATATCTACACCGCCGGGAAGGAGGATGGCACAATTTTCTCAATGATCAGTAGTTAACGGCCTAAAGGCAGATTGCGCCAGGTGTGCTCCACCTGAGCGCAAAATAACCTATTGATGACGCAATTCAGCCTTTTTTGGCCGCAAAGATAGCGAGAGCCGCTTGCAAAACACGCTGCCAAAAATCAAAAATAAGTCATAGAAGGCGCAACGCCATACATACATGTCAGAATTGGGCCAGGAATATCCTGAAAGTCAAGATTTGCACGATATTGCAAAAAATCTGTCTTTTCATAGTCAAGAATTGCACGAATTGCACAATATGTCGTGAATCCTGCCCCTAAAAAATAGATAAAACTTTTCTTCTCAAGCCACGGGAAACATTTGATATTGCAAAACTCTGCAAACATTGAGGAAGTTGTTGGCGCAAATGCAACTGCCATGTGCCCCATTGCGCCATCTGTGAATATGCCACTTTGACATCGCCAAGCGTTCTGCAGAACGCCCTATAAACATCTCTTTTTTAGCACATAGATGGCGCAATCGGGGGTAGTGTGGTATAAATAAAGATGGCTCAAAAAGAAAACTTTTGCCATCTACTCTCACCCCGGAGTAAATTTTCAAATTCCGTCTCCGTCTCCAGCGGGTTGTCCTGGTATAGTACGTGACTACTGGATGCACCCACGAAGTCTACGATTATATCAATCGAATCTGCAAGGCTGCGCTTCACACTAACGTATCCTCTTTCAGACTGACATCCTCACACTTCAAGCAGGTCCATCCCAAGCAAGAAGCAGCCAGTGGCATGAGCCAAGGAGCACTAAAAAGGCATCAAACCAAAACCTGAGCTGGCGTGATGCTGGATGCTTCACCATGCATTCATGCCAACCATGCCGGATGCTGCACCTCCCGGTTTAGGAGCTCCTGACCACGCATCCAAAACCAAAGATGAATCCAACTCATGCTACTTCGGACTGGCTGCTCGACTGACTGCACGCCAAGCATCGCAACATCACGAAGCACGCTGGATCGTTCCAGAAAAATCCGCGCCAGGAGCCTCAGGTCGGACGAAGACTGTCGTCGTCCAGCGGGAGAAAGACCACTGACAAAAATAAGCAAAGTAATACTATATATGTGTATATATATATATGATACACATATATATATATATAGGTGTGTGTATATTTGATGATACGTATATATATATTATTGTATATAGTATATACATTTATGTATGTATTTGGTTATTTGTTTATGTATGCATATGTTTAGTAATATTGTTGCCATTTAATTATCTGGAATGAGGAGTCCCTGACTGCGTGACTCTCCTCCCATCATCCGTGGATCTTTTTGATACATTGACAGGGAGGCAGGTATAAGCTGTGGGGCGAAACCAGGGGCAAGCTTCGTGGTTTTGACGTCGTCGCGGTTTTGGGGATCCAAACCCTATGTTGGCACCATCAACGCGATCCGTGATTGAATGCTGAATGAATCGGCAAAAGGCAAAAGGATCACGCAACAAGGAGCGCCACTGCTCAGAGGGCGTGCGGTCAAAATACACCATCTGAATCCAGACTGCGTGTCTGAATGGTCCTCACTGCTGATCTACCAGCTGACCTCATATGACCTGAACTATCCATCACCAAACCAAACGGCCCGGAACAACCCAGAAACTCTGGCTGGCACCCATGACCCAAAGCCACACCCAGCAGCCACACCCATCACCCCCGGTTCCAAGGAGCTCAGCCAGGAAGACAAAGACGAAGGCCCCATCCAAAGTGCTGAAGACCGGCCGCACTTCCTCCAGCGGCGCAGCTTCACCCACTTGGCCCAGCCTCGGACAGACGTGGGGCGACGCGAACGGTTTGACTCGGCAACGAGGGGGGCAGGAGATGGAGGTGAGTGAGCCATGAGGACCTGCAGGATCTCACTCCGAATTTGGTCTATCCACATGTACACATATACATAATACACAATACATATATCCCAGAATGTTCACGATCTTTTGATGGTGGGTCTCTTTTTGGGGGGGATGGCTTTGCAGTTTATGCTTTCAAGCGCACCAGGCAGAGATTCCAACACGCAAAAACGGAAACATGGCAACCAAGCAAGTGTTCCTTCTGAAGGTCAAGTCACTGCTGTCCAATTGCCCTTCCTTCCACTTCCAGCTCGCAAAGCATGATCCTCACAGCTCGCGCACCAAAAAAAAGAAAACAACAGCTGATTCGTCCAAGTGGGCACGTGCCGGAACCCGTGGGCAAGTTCTCACTTCTCCACCTCTCTGCACTTCTCATGCCAGGAGCATCCAGTCCAGGAGCCCGTGGCCTTTCTCCAATCCAAGCTTCAGCGAGTTGAGAAGCACCAGTGCTCCAGCCACGTAATTCAGAAGGGAAGAGTTGAACTCCTTCCATTTGCTGGAAGAGCCTTGGTCCAGCAGCCCCTCCTTGGCTGAGAAAGCATCGAAAGAGGGGAAAACATCGATGCCAAAACACAGACGATGTCGGAAAGGCTTCCCCTGAGTAACACATGCACCACGGTCTGCGGCGCCGAAGCGTCTGAAGAGAATGTAGAGAATCTCTTCAAGATTGGCGAGTTCAGAAGTCACGGACGCACCACATCCGCTACCTTAATGACCTACAAAAACAAAACCATTTAGAGGCACCTCTGATAGTACCTGCTAGGCTCTTCTAGCTTCCAACGACGCTGGGTCGTACGGTTGCAAGCTCCCGGGGGAACAGGTGATGCATGGTTATGCCATGACCACCACGCTTCACCGTCTGTTTACACCTTCATAGCCGCATCTGCGGACTCGTCAGCTCAGACTGTTCGCCGAGGTGCGGACTTGCTGTGCGAGGCGGAGGCCGCCGACTTCGCAAACTGTTGGATCTCCTCAAAGACCTCGGGAAGCAAAGGGACGGTCAAACCGACCCCCCCAACCGAACCGACCCCCCGTGGTTGGATGAAGCTTTTCTGTGTTCACTGTCGGCATGGCTGCCGAAGTTTGGGTGACTTGTTGAAGCAGTTTGGCATTCCGTGTTGCAGCAGGTGTGTCACCAGAAAGTTGTTGTTGACCTTCCGCTTCGTCCACCGCGTTCGCCAACTCCACAGCTCGTTTCGTCCACAAACCAAACCCGAGTGGCATTCTTGCCCTGCAATCCGGGACTGGCTTGAGGAGTTCCTGCCGACTGCGGGGCAGGGCCGGAGAGGACCGAACGTGGGCTGCGGGTTTTCTGCTCCCACTTCGGTGCTTTTTGTTCCTGTGGTGATTCCTTTCCCGGCATGGTGTTTTCTGTTCCCGCGAGTGTTTTGTGTTCCCGCATGTGTTTGCTGTTCCCGCCGATGCGGTTGAAATGTTACCGCTGTCCAGCTTTACGTTCCCGGAAAAAAGGTTTTTTGTGTCCAGCTGTGTTTTCCGTTCCCGTACAGGTGTTTTCTGTTCCCGCCGTGTTGGCGGCCAAAATACCCGCGTAGAATTGTGTTTTCTGTTCCCGCATGGTTCGGGTGATGTCATGTGTATGTTCGTTCAACGACGATCAGTACCAGTAGCAATACGACTATACTGGCACTGGTGGCACGATTGGTGCTTTACTACTAGAACTACTGCAACTACTCTTACGACGACAACAACCACAGCAACAACAACTTAGTACTACTGCTACGACTACTACGACCGCTAGAGTATTGCAACCACTACTACTACTACTATACTACTACTACTACTACTACTACTACAACAACTACTACTACTACGACGACGACGACGACGATGATGACGACTACTACTACCACTGACACTACGACTACTACTACTACCACCACTACTACTACTGCTACTACTACTACTAGGACTACTACCACTACCACTACCACTACCACTACCACTACTACTACTACTACTACTGGGACCACTAGCTACTAGCTACTAGCTCCTTAGCTATATACTTGCTACTGCTACTGCTACTGCTACTAGTGCTACGAGTGTTGCTAGCGCTACTAGTGCTACTAGTACTAGAGCAGTTGCACTTGCAAGGCCTGAGCATCATTGCAAAGAACAACCGCACACGACCGCTGCAGGAGCTTGTGCGTTTGCTGCTCAAACAGCACGGTCGCAGCGTGCGTTTGAGGGTGCCCAGCATCCAAGTAGAGGCATCACCTGCGCGAGCGACGACAGCGACATAGAAAAGCCAAGCATGAAGTAGCACGGAGCGCTGCACGCCTGCCCTGTTGTTCGCGGCGGTAGCTCGCTTGTAGTCAAGCTTCTGCTGTCGTGGGCCAGTCTCGGCAGCGCGTTTTCGACCTGCGCGACGGGAAGCAGCAGGTGGTTCTGAAGAGAACGGAGTGCTGGACGAGTGGTAAAGCAAGGCTATCCAACAAGATGAGAGGCAAAGGGTGGACACGTGCAGCAGCTGCGTCCGTCATGCTGAATGATGTGGCTGCGCCTGGAAAACAGCACGGGGGCTTAGCAGTTGCACTTCGCGCGCCTGGTTCAGAATTCCGCACTCATGCAATAACCTGGCTGGATTGCTGGCGGCACGCAAATTCAAAGGTAGCAGGGGCTCACTGGAGACCATCGGAACAATGAGCGGAGGCCCTGGCACAATGACATATGTGTGGTCGGCAAGCAATTCCGCAAACCGCGCTGCAAGCTGGAGCACAACCTTGTATCCCGGACCACATGCTAACATATACGGGCAATGGTCTCAAACCCTGGCTGGCCTGTCTGTGCTCGGGTAGAGGCCTCTCACAAGTACGCAGCCACTCGACAAGGTGGCTCTCTGCTTGGGACTGCACACGCTGCAGGAAGCCTTTCCAAACATAGGAAAAACGGGGGCGCGGGCAGGAAGCGGATGAGACGAACAACGGACTGCGCATATTGCACGTTGGCTTTTACCCATTTGCCTTTGCGCAACACAACCTTTTGACATTTGACTGTCATAGTCGTGTGTTGCTTTTGGCTAAAATGAAAGAAATCGCCACATCCGCGCGAATTTGGAAAGCATGCGACAAGGGCCGACTCCGGAGAGACCCCATGTCAGGCAAGGCTGGCATAGACTAAAAGATTCAATCTGGAACAGCCACTACTGCTGCGGCAACAACAACAACAACAACAACAACAACAACAACAACAACAAGAACACCAACCATATACCACAACCACTACTACCACTACCACTACCACTACCACGACATATACTACGACTACTACGTACTACGACCTCTCCTACTACCACCACCACTACTACTACTACTATTACTACTACTACTATTACTACTACTACTACTACCACCACCACCACTACCACGACGACGACAACAACGACGATGACGATGACGACGACTACTAGTACGACTACGACGACGACTACTAGTATACGTACTGATACTGCGGGACTACTACGACGACTACCACTGCTGCCACTTGGCCGAGCTTGTGCCACACACTATACCCTCATGTACCAACGCGTGGAAACAGTCCGCACTGCGCAGTCTCTTTGTCTTTGCCCTCACCCAACGAAGTCTACTCCAGCTGCAATGTTTCTCCCACCTACTTGTGTGGGTATGTGCGACTTTAAGTCGCCCCCAAATTGTCAGCACACGGCGCAGTTGCAATATCGCTCATGTTACCTTCCATACCCTTCCCAGACGCGGGTCTTTGCGTGGAGTGTGCTCTTTGCAAACTGTTTGGCCGGGCGAAGTCACACCGACATATCTCCTCAATTGCGCAGTCCTTCAAAAGGCTGCGGGCGCAGCAACTTTTCTCCACTCACGCGACATGTGTGTTTCATTGCTGGCCATATCAACGCACCGCCAACAACCAACGGGCACACAGGATCACAGAATTGCCGGGAACAAATTACTCCAGCATAGACCCCAGATAGCAAAAGCATGCAAAAGATTTTTCTGGGCTGCACCCTGCATTGGCAGCAGCTCCAATTTTTACACGCAATACAGCGTGGAGTACGCGCACAGCCAGCACCAGCGCCCGGCACCAGCACCCAATCTGCACCACAAGCAACCTGTCTCCACCACGTGCACAGCCAGCTCACAGCACCAGCGCCGGCACCCGGCACCAGCACCAGCAACCTGTCTCCACCTCACGCGCAGCCAGCTCACAGGACCAGCGCCAGCACCGGCAGCACCAGCACCAGCACCTGTCTCCACCACCAGCACCAGCACCGGCACCCGCCACCACCAGCACCAGCACCGGCACCCGGCGCCCAGCACCAGCAACCTGTTTCCACCACGTGCACAACGGCACCAACACCGGCCCCAGCACCAGCACCAGCACCATCAACCTGTCCCCACCACGCGCACAGCCAGCTCACAGCACCAGCACCAGCACCGGCACCCAGCACCCAGCACCAGCACCAGCAACCTGTCACCACCACGTGCACAGCCAGCTCACAGCACCAGCACCAGCACCCGCCACCACCAGCACCGGCACCCGGCGCCCGGCACCAGCAACCTGTCTCCACCACGCGCGCAGCCAGCTCATAGCACCAGCGTGCACAGCCAGCTCACAGCACCAGCACCAGCACCCGGCACCAGCACCAGCAACCTGTCTCGAAAGTGCGCACGGGCAACTCATTGTTATTTGAAGTAAGAACCCCATAGCTTCGCTATCTGGGGAAAAACACCTTGACGGCGTTGCCGGGAACAAAAAACACCTTGGCGGCCACAAAAAAACACCGCACTAGCGGCAACAGAAAACACCTGCGGGAACACAAAACACCCGCGGGCACAGAAAACACCGTTCCGGGAAAGGGAAACACCACGGGAACAAAACACACCAAAATGGGAACAAAAAACACTATACCCGACCGAACGAGAGAAAAAAACATCCGCCCGGGCCAAGGGCCATCGCGAAAAGCAACCTCTTGGCACTTGGCCTGGATCTGAGCTCCGGAATTCGGAGAAGAAAACAAAGCAGCAGCTGTCCTGTAAGCCAAACATCGTAGCCCCCACTCGCACCATTCAAGCCATTCTGGTTGGCGCTGGTCTCATCCTTTCCAGCAAACACCAACCGAAGCCCGGTCCGACTGCGACCGAAGCGGCCGGCTTGCCCGGGCCAATGGCCATCGCACGCGAGGCGCCAGTTCGTTTGAAAAATCCTAGCGTTTTGTGCAGTGGGGGGGATTTCTGCGCGCAGTCAGTCGGTGTAACTATGTTGCACTTACAGGTGGTCATGAATCAAACCAACAAAATGAAGCCTTGACCTGCATGAAGCGTTTTCTACAATTTCCTGCTTCCACTCTTAGTCATCCTTTCTTTTACCCCTGTCACCCCCCTGTGACCCAGAGCCGCCCTCCCTGAGCTTCCGCACGAAGGTCATCAATTGGCTGTCTGGCTCCAGTGGGCTGCTCAAGGCGCTGCACTCGCTGCCGCGCACGGAGGCCGACCTCGCTCAAGCGCTGACTACGCCCGTGCTGGCGACCGGGTGGTCGGTCCAACCAGGCGGACGGTCACAGACCTCAGGGTTTGGGACGGGGAACTGGGTCGGTGCCATGGCCCCTGATACCGGTGGATGATGGGTACTGAACGTCGTGACGGATGGTCACAAGGTGGGTTCTCTTTCGAACTCCTGCTGGGCGAAGAGTGTCTATATGACATATCATATGACTGTGTCGCAGCTTCTCGATTTTGCTGAGAAAGTGTAGTTAGATAGATAAGATACCATTCGGATCATTTTGCAGACTGCAGACTGCGCAGTGAGTAGCAGTGTTCTGAGCAATGGGCCTACAAAGTTGATTCTAACATATTGTGACATCCTCATGTGAGGCAGAGTCATCGATTGAAGCCCGCCATTGGTGCGTCTGCAACTGAAACTGAAATCGCAGACGTATGCCATGGCATAGTGGCCGCCCAAGAAATGACAACAATGTCCAATACATGCTTGATGGTGTCATTTTCCCCGCAAAATCCCTCAACAGATTTCTTGCTGGGAATGTTTGATTCAGGATGGATATTTGGATACTTAAGTGGAAATGAGGCACCGAAAATGAGTATCAAAAATGTGCTGAAACAAAGCCTTGGACGACAGTTCCACAGGCATCTGAACTGTAACTCGCGGGAGATGAGGCATTTCCTGAGGCAGCAGCAATTGGTCACGGTGGAGGTCCTACTCCAGGGAAAAAAATCGTGGAACGAGACCATGTTTCTGATAACTTTAAACTGTACCTTTCGACTTTTCCCTGGTCTATTTCCGTTGTTTCCACTCCACGCCACAAGGAAACCCCGGCAAAAGCACGGGCAACTAGCATGAATAAGAGCTGATGTGGCTGTGCCTCCATATCCCTGCTGATGTACCAGGCAAGTGTCAGCCGACTGCTCCGGGGCCGGGTCCACTTCATCTGGCAAACATTCCACGACCTGCGGTTGGTTGAGCGAATCATCTGACTGAATCATGAAGTCAGGGTCTTCCCCGATCCTAAACAAATCTACAAGGGAGAGGTTAGATCAACCGATGTTTCCAAGCTTCGTCAATCAGTCAATTGGCAAGGATTACCTTTCGAGCTCATTTTTGAGCATATCTCTCCTGTCTGTATCTCATACCGGCAACCAAAAGCCCCGTAGAGCTGGCTCCCAGAACATTAGCTACCACTTTGCCATTGACCTTTTGCCTGGAACATCTTGAGCTGATTGGTTCACAAAGCTTCCAGTTCAACCTGCTCCCTTGTGTAGTTGGGCCACAGGGCCCCAGGACCCCACCCAGGACCCCACCAGCCACACCCACCTCTTGACGGCAATCAAGGTCGAACCTCGTTGTCCGAGCGAAGGGAACAGCACAAATGACTGGACGGATCAAGGGGACCTGGTGAATGCCAAGCGGGAAAAAGACGGACACCATGAGCCCAGCAGGCCCCAAAGTCTAGCAAACCTACCACCAGCGCTGCTGACGCTGCTGGGTTCATGATCTATATACTGTATATATATATATACTGTCGTATGTGTGTATGTGTATATATATATATAATATGTATATATCTGTGTGTGTGCCTCATGGAAAAGAAACACGAACAGAACTGTTACTTCATTCTTGATTGCAACTGCAGTGGGCATATGTTGCCAAATCCTTGGAGACACCAGGAGCTTGACCCTTCCAGGGCCCCAACGGCTTTGGATTCTCGCCCAGATCTTCAAGCCTGCCAGTGCTGTCGATGAAAGTGGCACGTCCGGCCCCATGGAAACACTCATGTTTTACGGAATGGATCCAGGAAACCGCACGGTTGGCCGGAGGGGCCTCAAATGGATGGCACATGATGGCACATGATGGCATATGGTCTTGGATTCTCTGTTTCGACCCCCTTCTTGGTGCAATAGTTGCTTCCCGTAGGGAGGTTGATGTTCGCCCACTGGCTTTCGTCGATAGCGCGGTGTAGAAGCAAGGAACTTACGGGTACTTAGCCCAGAAGCCAGCTGAGGCAAGGGGAAACGACCACAACGACCCCGCCGATGAAGGTGGGGGGAAAAGAGCTAGTCGGTGGGCCAGCCCACTCAAACAGATTGAGCCCTTCCCCCTTTCCACTCGAAAATGTGTGAAACAGTCCTGCGGGCTCCATGACTTCGGGTTGTAGAAAAGATTTGCCAAAAGCACACACCTAGAAAAATCCCAACAAGTTCTGGAAGACACCGTTCCAGAAACCAGATGAAACAAGGAAAGAATTTAATGAGTGATGGACAAAGTCTCTGAGGGACCTGTTTGGGATGGTCAGGAGAGATAGCCGTAGACTCTGTCCATTCTCAGCCAACCACGGGGGCAGACCCAAACCAGAGATTTTGTCGTTTGACCTCCACAGCAATATGGGTGTGCATTTTATACAATAGGCCCGCCTGGTGAAGGTGGCCTCCAAAGAGCTCGTCCACAACGCAAAGCTCTCCTCACGGCCCGAAGATGGCTGAAGGCCAACAAGGGCTGACTTACCTCCAAGATGTATCTATGTGCAATTACAGTCCGTCCAAGGAAATCCCTGAACATAAACCGCAAGCGCGGAAGTCAACTTCACGACCCCAAGAGCTCATGCTCCACACATCCCGCGCTACTCCCTGAATACCCCACTGAAAAATAACATGGACCCTGAAAACAACTGGTTTGTAGAGGAAAAATTATCGGGTCCATGTTAGTTTTTGGGAGTGATTAGGTTCTGGAGCTTTCACCTGTACGCAGGCGTTTCATGTAGACTCCAGACTACACTCCTTTCCATGTCAGAGTCAACGCAAACATACAACTCCAAAATCTTGAAGGTTCAACATCTAGCCACAAACGATGAGGACAGGATGGCTTTTGGTGGCTCAGCTTAGGGCGAAGCCCTCGCACACCCACAGCCTCTGAAAAATGCTAAACTGTTCCCTCACTCCCTAGCTAGGCCGCCATGGTCGAGTATAATGAAGTTTTCGATTGTGGGATCTAACAGCTGGTGGCATGTGTTGGACAAGGGCACGACGCCGACAACCAACTCTACCGCCCTACTGCCGTGCCAGGGGCAAGGCATGTACAACTTCCCAAACTCGGCCAACTCTGTCCTCGGCCATGCTTTGAAGCAACTGACGCTCTTCTTGCAGAGCTCGCTTGAGCTCCTTGTGCAGCTTGATACCCTGGCAGAGCGAGAGCCGAGTTGTGTTTGTCAACCCCTGAATGTGGTACTTCCCGTGCCCTTTTCTGCCTCCATCAAGGACGCGCGATTTGCCAACCACGCGGTGGATGGAGGCGGGTTCAACGGCTGAGAGCCCGTGCCACGCAAAGGTGTGGGTTGTAAGCGCTTGATGGCCCCCCTTCAACCCGAATGGCCCTCCCTTCCTCATGTGGCCTCCAGGAATTGAGATTAGCGTCCTTGCTACTAATAGCGATGGCCTCCAACCTACTAGCTTCTTGCTCCTAGCAGCGATGCCCTTTGTTCCTAGTAGCTGCTTGTTCCTACATTTGGCCCATCTGCAAGAAAAAGCAAGCAAGTTATGCAGCCACGTCGATGGCCTCCCTCCCCTAGCATCCGGACCAAGTGTTGGAGTGCAAGCTCCAGAAGCTCTTCCTCACAGGTGGCTGTGGCACAGATTGCAATACAGAACGGGCGTCACATTCAGGAGTACAAACGAAAGCTGTCTGGCTCATTTGTTTGGCACAAATGTATAAATGTGGATTCTCAGCATTGTAGCTCCCGGAGCTACTCAAGTGGACAACCAACGAGCTCTACTGCTGCTTGCTGCGCCTGCGCACCGCGGCTCTCCCGGTCATCCACCAAAGCCAAGTGCCGTTGCTCCTGGAGATGCATCAGTCTTCGCGAAGTGCACCGCTGCCACCCGAATCCAACGCCACCCGTCCTTCAGAATAGAACGACGTTCTGCCATAGCACTGAAGTAGCTGGCCTCTGACTCCTAGCTTGTGCTGGACCAGAGGGCAATGAGAAGGTTCCGTAGACTGGCGGGTGTGACTACTGGTGATTCGGAATTCATAGCACATCTCTTAAATCGGCAATGAGTGGCTTCTGGTCCAGACACGCGCTTCCCCCGTCCGAAAGGTCGTTGCGCCCTTTCTCTTCACCATCAACAGCTCAACATGATTACTCTCCCAGAGCCGGCAGAATCGTGCGAAATTGAGCATCTCGACTCCCTCGACTGTGAAGTGAAGATCCACCAAAAGCTGTCGCCACCCGTTCTCCTCCAACCAGCCCTCTTCAAGACGCAGAGGGTGCAGACCACTCCGCAGCCCCGGTCGCCCACGGCCCTGAAACGCAGGGCCGTTTCACACAGACTCCACAAAACCGCTCTCCGCTCGCATGGAAATCGATATGAATGAATCTTGAAATGTATTGAATTGTTGTCAGTGGATCTCTATGGATCTCTTTGACGGCAGCCAGCGAAGAGGGCCGGCTAAAAAATAATGGGCACCACTTCTCCACCGCTACGCCGGTCCAGTTTCACCCGCGGTGGACCTTTTTGGCTCCCACGGGACACCGCCCCAGGGCCCCGCCGAAACCGGACTCCTCCCCAACCTCCAGAGCTGGACAGGAGAACCGGTGGCGACACTTCAGCGGAACTCCACGCGGGGTGCCGTGCAGATGGTCATGAACGACCAGCAAGCTGGTGGGTGTCGAAAAGAACATGGACACCAAAATTGGTCTAAAAAACACAAACTTCAAGGAGGTTTATGCTGGGCTTTGGTCTGTTGCTTCGAGCATCCGCTGAAAAAAGGATTTGAGTATTCTCAAGCCTTCGCCCAGAGCTTTCACGAAGCCTTGAACTTCTGGAATTCTAAAGTTGCTCAGGCCAAACTTCAACAGAATTCGTGCGGTGGGTGAGAGGGGAAAAAGGCAATCACTTCCCAACCCCCCAATTGGCGGGAAACAAATATATCCAACTGTTGTGAACACAAAAAATCGACGTCCTGTGAAGACAGGCTGCATCAAGCACGCACCGCGCGGTGTTTGGGCGCAGTGGCCACCGCTCAATTCAAAGATTTCCCGAATTTACAATGCCAAGATCTCAAAAAGCAAAGGTCTTCTAAGGACTACAGTAACTGACAGATCCTTGACCTTTGCCCTTTGCAACTAACATCAACTAACCCCTTCCAGTCTACTGCGACTTCTGACAGATCCTCCCTGATTTGGAGACCCTAGCACCCTACTTGCTACAGCCACCGTTGGGTCTTGCTACCTTGACAAACGGGGTGTTGGCGCAGGTGCAGCAATCCCCACGGCGTCCAACTCGGATTGGGGCCGTCGACCTCTCAGAGCTCATCACCCAGCGCTCTGGTACTATTTACAGCTGGCCCAAATGGCAGATGGCCCGCATGGTGTGTGGTTCCGAGATCAGTCTCAGATCTCGTCGCCCCACTCATCATAACGGACCTTGCTTTCTTTGCTCACACGTTTCACTCCCAATCGTTGAGCTAAAAGCTCTTCACGCTGCAGGTCATCGTCGACAGCAACCTTGGGCTTCAAAATGTGATCGTCATTTACGGGCATGCTTCATCTACACCCACTATCCCACTGCAGTTGGCACATAGGAAATGAGTATATATATATATATACCCTCACGTTTCTTGTCTTGTCCTTTCTTTTTGCCGCTTTTCCTCGTACCTCCTGCTGCTTCGCTGTGACGATTCCATGCTGTGTTATTGTCTTAACTCTTTCAGATTTCCTGGATGTATTTGCATCACTTTTCATGTTTCGAGTTTTACAGATGAGCTGTGTCGATTTACATTTTGAACATTGCAGATCAGACGTGTCAATTCCCCCTTTGAGCCTAACTGGCACCAGTGTTCGTGTTTCGGTCAGTGACCTACCTCTCAACTACCTTTCTCCTTCTGGTTGACTTCGCCCTCCGGTGAAGTCTGAGTCCGGGCGTACATCACACGTACAGACTGAGGAGGCGTGTGATGGGTCACTCTCCTCCTCGACTCTCTCTCTCTCTCTCTCTCTATCTCTCTCTCTCACGGGTTCTCTGCCTAATGGGCCCAAATACACATGAGAAAACTATGCGGATCCACCTCCGATTACGTCCAACTCTTTTGAAAAATCTAGTCACTGCCTCGCAGACCGAACTTTGGCAGCTGAAGAAATGTTACCCTGAAAAGGAAAGAACATATACACGTGTGTGTGTGTGTGTCAGGGAATAACTATTATATTTATATATGTATATATGTATACATATGCGTACAGTATACACATTCATGTGTGATATGTGTATATCGATGAAATGTGTATATCGATGCATAATACACCCATATTCATCCAAGGCTCCGTTTGGATCAGCACAGACACTTCCTTCAACAAGTCTTGAAGCCTCTCCGCTTCCTGCGTGCAAGTAGAAAGACGTTCCAGGTCTCTTAGTGCACGCCTTCTTCTTGATTCTTTGCCAGCCAAACAATTGCAGGGATCCAACTCCCGAGCAGAAATTCCAAAGAAATATCTGTACATCGATGAAGATGACCCCTCCACCCCAGCTTCTCGCTTTTCTCTCAGAACGTTCCTGGCAATCCTTGGTATCAGTGTCACGTCGGCCCGCACCTCAGCACACTTCTCCCCGAGCTCCGCTGCCTGGCGCCGCTCATTGCCACTCAGCCAGAAGAAGCGGTCCACACGGCCCTGAAAAAACGCTGGGATGCGGCGACGTGTCTGAGCTGCTTGAGAAACAAACTGGGGAAGTGACATGAAGTGGCTATGATGTCACAGCCTGCTCCAACAATCTATCATCCGCTCTCTCTCTCTCTCTCTCCCATCTGCCGTAGGTTCACCCAAACCGCACTGTGGATCACCTCACCAGGGGTGGATGGCGCCTCTTCCGCAGGCCCGTTCGGAGCATTTCGGGAGATGTGCGCCAGGCGCAGCATCGCGCGCGAGGCTGCCTGGATCGCAGGGTCGAGATCCGCTTGAAAAAGCATGACAGGACAGTCTTGCAAAAAGAACTGAACCAAAGTGTTCCCCAAACGATCCAGCGACAGATCTCGCTGCAACTAGGGCGCAAGCTTGAAACGGACTCAAACCATTGGTTTGTGTGATCGGAACTTCGAAAAGGATGCAACACATTGCTTCCCCTGGCCAGTTCCAATCCCGAGCCCAGCTGAAGCCGAAAAGGCTGGTGTAGCCTCAACCTCGCATCCCTCACATCCCGCCCGTCCTGCTGCAGGTTCCGCAAATCGCGCCGCGCAGCCTCCAGGCCCGGGCCCCGAGCGCCATGGCGCAGCCGTGTTTGAAGGCCTTCGAGGAGGAAGGACCACGCCTCGGGGCGTCGGCGCGTCGGCCCGTCGGCCCGTCCTCAAAGGGTCCGCATCCGGCGACGAAGTTGGGAGACGTCCCGTCGAAGTTGGGAGCATGAGGTGCGGCCGATGGAAAAACGAGGTCTGAAGAGATTCCAAGGTCATGGGATGATTTTGTTCCTTTGTAGCTTGAAACAGCTCTTGCGTTCTGGCCTTCTTCCCATCTCCACTTTCGCCCAAACGACGTAGGAGCCATTCAGTCACCAACTGACCTGATCAGGTTTTCAGGGAGCAGCAAAAGGTCGAGATTTTGCCCACCGCCCACCCAACCTGTCATATTGAGTTCCAGCCTTGCTCCGGATCACGATCCCAAAACATATGCCTCAAGAGGAGCAGGTCAGCTTCCACCACGGTACGTCCACCTGGCAGCTGTGCAGTCTCGCCAGCCCGAACGGCGTCACCGAAATCCAAGGCTGCGAGGCCCCCACTCATTGCCATTGTCACCAAACGTCTATGGGCCCCCCCTTCATGGATCTCCATCTATCTACCGACCCCAAAAAGCCAACCAAACAACACCATGACAAAACAATATGAAGATAACTGAAAATACAGCAGGACCTGCCAGCGCGTCCACCCCTACGGCCCAACGTCTGTGGTCCCTCCCAGCTGCTTGACTGGGCTGCGCCTGCAGCGGCTGCAGCGATGCGCAGCAACCGCACGCTGCGCGCCAGGCGACGGTCAGAGACTTCGAAGCGCGGCTCCGCCTCGACGGCGTCGCGGCACGTGCGGGGAGGCGGCACGAAGGTGGCCAAGAGCGGGCAACGAGATTCCGCCCTACGGCCAGCCACTCAACAGTGGTGGATGATTTCCAAGGTTCTTTTTCTCTATATTTGGTCTTCTTACAGGTTTGGTCAAGCATCACGTGGTAGTGGCGTGAGTTCGGGGAATGAGCATCTAGATCCCAACATCTACGTTCATCAGATCTCATCCCAAACGTTCTTACCATCAAAGCCAGAACAGTTCTGGCGTTCACGGCCCACCCCACAAAAAACAAAATGGAAAGACGATGAACAACGTTTCAAAACAACTCCTTGACCGTACAACTTCTCAGGGCCCTAAATTCTTTCTGTGCGGCACTCCTTCCTCCCCCTCAGCTCGGCTCGGCCCGTGTTTGTTCGGCTCCTCCGCCAGGAACTCCCGCAGATCCGCGATCACCACCAGAAGCTCGTCCGGGAAGTCCACCGTCCCCGCGCGCCGCTGGAGCTCCCAGGAGTCCTCCGGGGCTGTGCCGCTTGGCAGGGCGCGTGGTTGGATGAACCAGTCAGCTAGTATGACCTTTCAATACAGGTAAGGGGGTCAAAAAAAAATTGCTCAGGATCCAAAAAAGATTCCGGGAGATTGGGATCAATCAAAGATATTCCGAAAAAAGGGCTGAAAAAGAGAGTGCAACGGCCTATACAACCTGTCGGGGTCTCTTCGCGCACAAACACCCCCGAGCAGCATGCAAAGCTGGCGGCTCACAGAAATACAATGCACAGCCAACACCAAAACAGGTACAAAAAGAAAATGATTTGAAGAAACAGTTTCTGGGTTAGCAAGGTGTGTTCCCTTCCCTTCCCGTCCCGTCCCGTCATGTCCCGTCCCGTCCCTTCCCTTCCCTTTCCCTTTCCCTTTCCCTTTCCCTTTCCTTTCCCTTCCCTTCCCTTTCCTTTCCCTTCCCTTCCCTTCCTTTCCCTTCCCTTCCCTTCCCTTCCCTTTGCTTTCTTGCTTGCTTCCTTGCTTCCTTCCTTGCTTGCTTATTTTGTTTGCTTCCTTCGTTGCTTTCTTCTTTGGTTGTTTTTTTTGCTTGCTTTCTTGCTTGTTTCCTTCCGGTTTATAGGTATTCAATTGGACCAGCTGCCCACTGGAGGAGGCGTCATCTTGCTTTGCCGCTTTGGCAAGCCAGCCATGGATTTGATGGTTCGAGTGCACCCTGGTCTGCTTTTCTTCACACTTCACTCTCGAAGATCCTTCATTGTTTGCTTGCTTGCTTCCTTCCTTCTTGGCTTCCTTGCTTCCATGTGTTTTTTGCTGACTGCTTCGGTCTTCCAATTTTCTCATACGGGGACTACACATATATATATATACCATACTGAGACCTAACATAACGCTTCTAAACACAAGAGCGCAGTCTGATAGGAGTTGGCCTGCTGCCTCAAGAGGCCCCCGCTCCGGTGGGTGCTGCGCGAGTTGGCCTGGTGTGCTGACAACAAGTTTCCACCGTGCTGCGGAGTGGCAAGAGCGGCAGCGCATGACCAAGGAAAATGGACAAACAGCGACACCAACATGTCCATCGCAAAGCATGGTGCCATTGAGCTGCTGGTTGAGCCCCTGCTGCAAAGCGGCAGCAAGCTGGAGTATATATATATATATATAATTGGCCGCAACTTCCTTCCGCTTGCCATGCGAAATGACAGATGCTGCTGTGTTTTGCATAGTTGCAGGGAGCATGAGACCAATTGCTTTTCAACATCTCCAGTGATGTTGACTTAAGCACGGTCAGTGGATCGACGTGGGCAGCATTCGCCTGATTCTCACCCGTTATCTGGGCAAGATTCGAATCCAAAGCCGCTGCTTCCGTTTCTTGCTCAGCCCAAATTCTTTTGACTCAGCTTTGCGTTTGTCGCAGCAGTGTTCTCCTCAACTGCCTGCACCCGATCTGCAGAAAGTTTTAACGTCTCATTCACATCTCGTTTGCTTGTTGCTTTTTGTCGGCTGACCTTCAACTGAAACTCTCTGTTCCTCCTTAAACTGTTAGAAAGCATTTACCATGTTACTCAATGGCAGCAAGTAGCGGCTTGCATCTTCTTACATGCTTACTGCAAAACTGTGATCGAACAACCTCATCTGAAGGGGAAAGGGGGGAGGGAGAGGGAGAGAAAGCAACCAAGCAAGCAAGCAACCCAGCAAGCAAGTAGGCAGGAAGCAAAGCAAGGCAAGGGCAAAGCAAGGCAGGGCAAAAGCAAAGGAAAGGAAAGGAAAAATGATGAATATAGAAAGAGACAGAAAGAAAGAGAGAGAGGGGGGAGAAAGAGAAAAAAGTGAGAGATCACATGAAAAAATATCTACATACAGCATGTGTATATATATATAATATAGATCAAACGAAAACGCTCCACTTGCAACCTCTGAAGTGGGGGAACCCTTCCTCGATCGAGAGCGTCGCGGGAGCGGAAGCTGCACCGGCCTCCTGGAGACATGAGACTGGCAGAAATCACACCCACAACCTTCACAGAAGCTGGAGAAACCAAAAACAAAGTCGTGGGCACTTGGCTGACCGAGAAACAAAAAACTACAAGAGTGGTTTAAATTGGTGCACTGTTCACATTAGAATCATTAGACGCCTCCTCTTTATGCATTCTTGATGCTGCAAGGGCTTTCATCTGCCCGGCCGCATAGGCCTTGAGCCAATTCGGCAGTCCTCCCTGCTCAGCGTCAATCGCAGAAAGTCCGGAACTGACCTGCAGACATCACATAAGTTCCACAAAAATGGGCAACCTATTCAAAAGCAAACAGGATCCGACAAGTTTTGGCTCCCATCAACAACAACAACAACAACAACAACGACAACGACAACGACAACGACAACAACAACAACAACTACTACTACAGTATATACTACAACTACTGCCACCACTACTACTACTACTACTACCACTACCACTACCACTACCACTACCACTACAACAACAACTACTACTAGCAGTACTCCTGCTGCTGCTGCTACTACTACTACTACTGCTACTGGCACTACTACTGAAGTACTGCTAGTGCTACTGCTACTTATGCTTACTACTCTACCATGCCCCACTCACTCATCTACGGGCTCTGCGCAATCACCTGACAGAAGCACCAAGTGCCGCGTCTTGTCCCATCGCGACAATCCATTCATCCATTCGCGCAAGAATTCGCCATGGGTAGAATCTGCCTTTGTGAATCCACGTGTTGCAACCTCCATTGTCATGTGCAACCAACCCCGACAGGCGTTTCTGCACCTCCGGGAGATCCGTGAGACATGCCGTCGCAGGAGAAACCGGTCGTAAAGCGCATCAAGTTCGTCACTGTCCTTGGGGGACCGATGTGCGATGGGTTGCTCAGATGTTCTCCAAAAACAGAAGAAGAAGAAGACGAAGAAGAAGGAACCTAATAGCAATGGCCTCCAACCTAAGAGCGATGGCCTCCAACCAAGAAGAAGAGAAAGAAGAAGAAGAAGAAGAAGAAGAACAAGAAGAAGAACTCGTGAGGTGCAGAAGCTGGCCCAGGAGATTGAGTGGTTTGTTAAGAAGACTTTTGCAGCGGCAATGGCAGGTAGCATGCTGGTGGGGCTCAAGAAGTCAAACACCACTTGGGACCCAAAGATAGATGTTCGTTTATCCTCGTCAATTGGAGCAACCGCCTCTCCAAGTCCTCCCAGTTTCTGGGAAACTCTCGTTTCGGGCCCAAGGGGCTGGTAGCTCATTGGACGCTGCCACGGCGCACCACAGCGGCACCTTCAGGCTCTGCTCGCCATTGTCGAAGCGCCGCTCGTTGAGGATCACCAGCAACGAGTTCAGGATCGACGAGTTCGCCTCGCTTCCGCCGTCGGTGGGGAGAACCGAAGGGTTCGCGAACCGGGCGGCGCTGGTCTTCTTTCTTTCGTGGTCTTTGAGGGGGTGCACGGGTGGACCGCGGGGAGGGTTCTGTCCCCGGTTGGATGGATCATTGGATGGCAATGGTCCATGGAACCTGGGATTGCAGCTGCCCAATCTTGAAAACTCGAGGTACAGCTCGAGGGTGTTGTATATATATATTATACATATATATATATATTTATTTTTTTTATATTTATATACAAACAGTACACTAGAGAGACAGCCATTTGGAACCCGTGCACGCCGCAGAGTGATCCTGAATGTCCTCGTCGGCATCACGGGTCGATCCAGGCCCGAACGGCTGAACGTCGCCTTCGATCCTCCCAGTGTTGGGCCTTGAAGATCTCATCGATGAAGGCCACATCGCACTCGGGGAGGTAACCCTTGGTCTTGCGGCGGAGCTCATCCTGCGACAGCTGGGCCCAAGACGGCCCCAAACCCTGGCCGATGCGGGCTCCGATGCTGGTTCCTTCCCTTTAGCAGGGCAACTAGGAGGCCTCCTAGTAGGCGATCCAAGTCTTGGGCAGTGCATCGAATGCAACCAGGAAAGGCAGTCCTCCTCGAGGGCATGCAGGGACAAAGGGCCAAAGAGCTCTTCAGGCACTGTAAACCTGCGATGTGGCAGAATCAATGGCGTTAGAGTGGTCGCACCGCTCCTGAATTCAGAAGGCCCTGCAAACAGACCAGACAAGGTTGAAGCTGGCAAGTTCCCTCTGCGGCAACTTTTCAAACGAAACACAATAACTATTCAATTCTCCAACCCGGCCTTGTCAACAATCGCTCAAAGTATGATCCCTCACAAACCTCCAGACACCCAATGTGTGGTGCATGCAGAATCCATTTCGATCCATCTAATCTAAGTATGCAGCTAGCAAGCTGTAAAGGCCGACTCGCTTACAAAGCAAAACGCTTGGACACTATAATCGAGCCTCTTGGGACTACCAGCACAAGCAAGTACCAGCAACAGCGACCACTATGTGCACGTCTCTTTCACACAAAGCACAAGAGCCCAACGGCTAAGCAAAGCCAAAATATGACAGCACCTTGGACAGTCTCCTTGCCAACAAGCTCTTGGCAGTGCCAGGGGAGCCAAGCAGAAACAAGTGCTCGCCTCCCGTGACTCTGCGGCTGGGAGGGCCAGCTGGGTCCCAAGCTGACTAGTCCAGTCGTTGGAGATGCTGATATAGCGGATATATCCCGCACTATGTCAAGGAGGCCCATTGCAGTGCAAAGAATCCTCTTGTTTTTTCAGGTCCATGTGCTTGAAAAAAGGCAAGATGTTCTCCACCTGCCAAGGCCGCCAACAGCAGCAGCTTTGCCTAGCGCCGTTTGCGAAGTTGATGCAAGCGAAGGAAGGAAGGAAGGAAGGAAGGAAGGAAGGCATGAAGGAAGGAAGGAAGGAAGGAAGGAAGAAACCTTCAGTACCCATCCCCTCACTCAAATGCATGCCGTTGAAGAAACACCCTCGTCCTTGGCCAGGAACCCAGATCCCACCTCCACAGAGCGTTCCACCAGGCCATCCGCCAGCTTGGCAAAAGAGGATTGAAGACCCTGGCACGGAGAAGCTCCACTCTTGCACTCCGAAGACAGCTCCGTCCATCGATGTAACATCTCCCTCCTTCAGGGGCGCACCACAGCGGGCGGGCTCGTAGAAGTCCTCGGCACATGCGTTGAATCGGAAAAGGCGAGCCGCTTGGAGTGAGCCAGGCTCGCCACAGGCTCGGATTTCTCAGGCTGGGCTGAAGTGACGGAGAAAATAAACAAATGAGCATGGCATATACTATACCTCACCCATGTCCCCGTAAATGTCACATCTCCACCCACCACTTCTTCCCACATCCCAACATGCTCACACATCAGGTTTAATGATGCTGCCAAAAAGCACTACACAGTCCAACCAGCCAGGCCTTGCAGGAGCCCAGTGAGCCAAGGGCCCGGATTTGACTCTTGCTCAGTTGAATGTCATAAAGAAATAAATGAGTTACAGTACTTAATGCTACTTCCCATCCTACAAAGCCTCTGGGGCCCAGAGCTTGTCACTAACGCTTTGATTTGGACATCAACCTTCCACAACCCAAATCTAGCCCAGATCTCTCAAATTTCAGCATGCTCACATGAAGGCTCACAAGAGGCTCACCACCCAGGCCTCCCAAGTGAGTCGACTTCCCGGCCTCAGCCTGCGCCTCCGCCTGCGCAAAGAAGCCACCAAGGGAGGCCAAAGCAGCGGGCCGGACCTGCTGCGGCCGGATGCCTGGCTCCCGCGGCTCGGGTTCCGAAGACACGGTGCGCTTCATCGCTACGAGCGATGCCCTTGCTCCTAGTAGTAAGGCACCTGTTACTACTAGTAAGGCACCTGCTACTACTAGTAAGGCACCTGTTACTACTAGTAAGGCACCTGTTACTACTAGTAAGGCACCTGTTACTACTAGTAAGGCACCTCTACTAGTAAGGCACTTGTTGCTAAAAGCGATGCACTTGTTGCTAGTAGCTTCTTGTTCCTAGTAGTCAGGCCAGGAGCGCCCCGTTCGTAGCGTTCTTGCTACTAGTAAAGGGTCTCCGTTGACGGTCTTTGATGGTCTTTGTTCATCCAAAAGTAATTGGGCCATCTATGATCTTCCAGGATCTTCTATTGGATCAATCCATCCGAGCAAGTTTCACCCATCAAAGCCCATATATATATATATATATATCCTTGTATCACTTGTCCCTCTATCAATCAGTCTGTTGTCGAGACATCTGTTTGAAGCAGTCCTATGATTATGTAACAATGTAGTATCTTCATACCTCTGACTAAAGTGACTAAACAGCACACATCCCCAGCCTAGCTCCTCCAGAAGTGGCTCCCAAATGAAGCGGAACTGTGGAGCCGTCAAAGCCAAAGCCAAATGCCCCACCTGGCAACCCAAGCGGCCAAGAGACCCTGTGTCCGAAGGGTACACCCTTGCTCATCTCAATCTTCTGCATTGAAAAGCATGTGATTATGACTCTGCTTCATGAACCCCCTGTCCCAGCCTGAGCTTCCTTGTGCTGCAAACGTGCACGCTCTGCCTCGTAAAAGCTCATGCGCTTTGACCACAGCTTATATATAATTTGTTTGAATAGCATCTCATAATTTGTTTGAATGATATGATATGCTTATACACCGGTTCCAACTCTCTGGCTCCCAAAATCCAGGCAGATTGTCACCGCGTGTTCTGCGTGCTCAGCTTTCAAAACTTCTTGCATACCAAAGCGACGAAAAAAGCCCGGCGGAAAGAACAAAAGAACACTGCAAATGGTCCAGAGACTGGGCCTCCACGGATTCCAACAAGTGCCGCAGCTCGGGGCTGAAGGGCAAATCTTCGAAGTCAAAGTTTCCTTCCTTGGGGCCCGGACGGACGGCCGTCCGTGACCGGTCCAAAAAGGCGGAAACTCCACGCGACAAGTCAGGTTGTGCTTTTCCACCTACCTCCACTCTTCATGTTCTCCTCTGCATGCCCAGCATCCGCGCTGCGCCGCAGGCAGCGTTCCAAGAGCTGCCGGGACCTGCGACAAAGCACATCAAGGCTCGAGGAAGCTATTCTTCGTAGCTAAGGTCCGGAGACAAAACACAGGTGAAGAAAAGTCCAAGTCTTGGGAAAATGCTCCCTCCGGTTCCCTTGGATGTGTTTGTGTGTGTGTGTGTGGGTCTTGCTGCATGCATCGGTGCTCTGATGAGCATGCCTCCGCACTGACCCTACACATGACCTTTCGCGTCAAGCCCGCCGACCCACACCAAGCCCCTTCCCATCTCCCCGTCGGCAGGACACCTTTCCGTCACATCTTCTTCACTGCCTTCAAGTCCCCGACGGCAAATCTCCTCACGCAGTCCGAATGCAGCAGCAACGCGGTCCGAATGCAGCAGCATGGCATACCCCAAGTTTTGTCGGTCCGTGGATGTGTGGTCACGAGCGTCGCTCACCACTGGTCCTTGCCAACGGGGCAGCGGAAAAGCCCCAGCAGTGCGGCCTCCCAAGCTTAAAAGACTCTCAACAACTTTGAGTAGAATTCATGGATTGCCGACAGCGCTGAGTGTTTATTGCTGAGTCTTCCCCCAGCTCTGCTTTACCACCCAGGCTTCCAAATCTTCAAAGCCAACCAGCCTGCGGTTCGAACTTGGAACAACCCAAGCGCGAGGCTTCGCGACTGGCACGCACCAGCAGAGACAATAGCTGGTCCTGGAAGTGGGTCAAGGTCTCCTGAACAGGCCGAGCTCATGCACCCTACACCAGGTTGAGGATGACATGATCCACAGTCTACATTCTACATAAGCAATTTCAGATGGAGAGTGGAGAGTGTCAATGCTGGATGAAACAATCAAGCGAACACCCCGACACCTCTAGCAGATCGATGCGGCTGACTGCGGCTTGTCTGTCCCGAGCCGAAAATGGTCCTCGCCCCACTGCGCGGCGACGAGGTCTTCTTCCGCTTCGCGAGACTTGTGCGGGGAGAGGAACCTCACAGTGTCGACCACTTACAGCAGTTTTCGCGCTGAAAATTGACACAAGGTCCCAGCATGTTACAGCAGTGAAGAAGCAATAAGATGCAATAAGCAATAGCAGTCAAACTATAAAAGCTCTTGCCAAGTGGATGATGAGTTCCCAGGAGAGGAATTCACAACTACCTTTGAAGGGCTTAGCAGCTGCCCAGTGCCCCCACCTGCTCTGAAAATGCTTCTTCAGCTCCAGCTGCAGCTTTGCCTCCCACGTTGCTGCAGAAACTGTGCCTATTCCAACACCTCCAACCAGAATAAGGAGGAAACGATGCGCATCGATGCCATGCGCCCTTCTTGTGGATGAGCGATGTGGGAGAGTCTGTGGGTGTGCTGGACAGTTTGGTACATCAACTGCAACTCCCGGCACTGCTCAACTCAACTGCTCAACTCATGGTGAGAAAAACAGGCCGGCATCCCACTGCCCGGCACTTCTGTGTCCTGAAAAGTCGCCTGATCATACCCTCCGGCCCGCCGCCTCGCCCAGTCGTGACCTTGGGGGGCGTGGCATGAGTCCGGAGCTCACAAGCATCAAGCGCACGGCGTGGTGGTCAACAAGGTGTCTAAAAGAAACGTGAATTTGTGCCCAAGAGGCTCCTGATACACGAGCTCAATCTTGGCAGCTTGTGCTTCAGCCTCCTGAGTTTAAAGAAACAACGCTCTGCGCCAAAAGCTCCTGTACGTGTTGGCTAGCGCGCTGACTCCACGAGCCCTTCGCTCTTCCTTTCCAAAAACATGGCCAACGGCCCTCCTTCATTGAAGCTGGACAATTCAGCGCTCCTCTTTCGTAAGCCAACGGCCTCCCACCCATTGCCAGCGCTTGCCCATTTTGGACTCCACTTCCTTCATTGAATGCCAGACGAGATGGAAACGAGGACCCCAACACTGATTGACAAAGTCGGCGCGCTGATTTCTGACTCTTCACCCTCTTGCAACGTCGGCGCTATTGGAGCCCACCCGCCTTCTCGTGCTCACTGAGTCTGGCCTTCTCTCGCTCAGCCCAGCGGGTTTCCCGATCCTCTCGCCTTAGTGCTCTCCCTGCTCTTGACCTGTCCGGCCTCGGGGGTAAATTTCATCATGGGATTTCCTAATCCAACTCACACCTGAGTGCTCACCTCCATACATGAGCACGATGCAAGGAAGAGTCTCCCAGCACTGCAGCTCATTGAAGCTTCCTTGATGGCTCAAAATGAGAGAGAGGGAGAAGGAGAGGGAGAGGGAGAGGGAGAGGGAGAGGGAGAGGGAGAGGGAGA